AAATTTGTAACGGAACTATCCAACCCGATCCTGAGCGTTTGAAGCCACTTTTACAAATGCCTCCTCCTCCCGACTCAAATTCGTTAAAAAGGTGTCTTGGTATGTTTGCTTACTATGTGAAATGGATACCTAAATATTCACACAAAATTCGTCCACTGGTCGAAAATAAACAATTCCCATGCCTCCTATAGTTATAAATTCTTTCGAAAAACTTAAGAAAGACATTGCCGAGTCATCTGTAAAAGTTATTGATAATGAATTGCCATTTACTATTGAAACCGATGCCTCAGAAAAGGCTATTGGAGGCACTCTTTTACAAGCTGAGCGACCTGTAGCATTCTTTTCTCGGTCGCTAAACCCCTCTGAAATAACGACTTCACATAGTCGAAAAAAAGCATATGCTATAGTCGAATGCATTCGTAAATGGAGAGACCTCCTTGCCGGTAAACATTTTACTATTATTACTGATCAACAAGCCGTATCTTTTATGTTTAAACCTGCTAATCGCGGAAAAATTAAAAACGATAAAATTACAAGGTGGAAAATGGAACTTCTTCCCTTTTCATATGATATAAAACACCGTCCTGGAAATGAAAACACAGTTGCGGATACCTTATCCAGAGTATGTGGTGCTACTGCTTCTTCCTTGAAGGAACTTAAATTGATACACGATTCCTTAATACATCCTGGGGTACAGCGCTTTTGGCATTTTGTAAGGTCTCAGAATATGCCGTATTCACTTGATGAAGTCCGACGTGTGACTTCTGAATGTACGACCTGTGCCAAAATAAAACCCCAATTCTTCGATTCTACTAGTAATGTTCTGATCCGTTCTACTGCGCCATTTCAGCATCTCTCCATAGACTACAAAGGGCCTGTCCCAGTATCCCCGACAGGTTACCGATATATACTTACTGTCATCGACGAATATAGTCGATTTCCTTTGCCTGTCCTTGCCGCGATTGCTCTTCGCAAACTGCTATTCAGTGCCTGACAAGTATTTTCTCCATTTTCGGGCTTCCCTCGTTCATTCACTCCGATCGAGGAACTTCGTTTATGTCAGGAGAATTTAAACAATTTCTAACACGACTTGAATTGGATTCAGTAATACTACTGCTTATAACCCTAGAGGCAATAGCCAATGCGAACGTTACAACGGCATAATTTGGAATACCATATTATTGGCCCTGAATCGAAACAGTTACCAATTAGTGCTTGGCAGGATGTTCTACATGATGTGTTAAATGCTATCCGCTCTCTACTATGTACCACTACGAATGCAACCCCCACGAACGAATGTTCAATTTTGAAAGGCGGTCCTCCACCGGTACTGCGTTGCCTGTTTAGCTCTGTGAGCCTGGGGAGGTATTATTAAAACGATTCGATGGCAGAAGTAAATATGACCCTATCGTTGAGGTGGTGGAACTCCTTGAGGCCAATCCTACGCATGCCAAAATACGTCACAATGATGGCCGGAAGATTCGGTGGCGCTGAGACGGTTGGCACGTTTTCCACGCCCGGATGGACCTCAAAATGGACCTGAAAATACTCAACCCGACGTGGACCACGCAGATTCAACCCTTTTGCCTGATGCAGGTCCCGTTAATATTTCTTCACCTTCCACGGAAAATGAATCTGTGAATAATAGCCAGAATCCTGAAAGTCAGCCTTCTCAGAGGTCTGGCTCTTCCAGTGGTGAACTACCTCTCGCCCGGTCTAGCAGGATTCGTAGAGACCAATCCAATGACTGGATTTATAAAACCTATTCAATTACGATCTCTTTTTGCAAGTGGGGAGAATGTTATATTTTCGTAAAAAAAAAAAGAAAATAGGAAACTATCTTTACTGTCCACGTCAAATAGGAAACTATCTTTACTGTCCACGTGACTTTTTCACACGTCCCATTCCTCTTTAAAAGCTGCGTTCTTCTTCCTTTGTTGATTGCTGCTGTGAATTAAGTTCAGTAAAGCCTTAGTGAAAGGTTACTAGCTTTCTTCTCTGAGCAACGTAACAACTACACAACAGACCGAAGTATTACAACAGAACAAATGTCTAGATGCAATGTAATGTGTTGTGACTAGTTTGAAATGTAATTTTGTTGAGTGTGGGTTGCTTTGTTTTAATATAGATGGCTTCCAATATTTGAAGGTTCTTATAACTGTGTGTATGTGTGGGTATTATTGTGTTATCAACTAATATCTGTATAATATTACGTAAATGGCTATATTTTTCTAAGAAATATTGCTTAATAGAACTAAGATCAGAAAGGTGTCCGCTATGGTAAATTAAAGCAAACATTCGAACAGCTCATGATCAGACATAAGACATTCATTGTCTGTTATATTTGATAATATATATTTAAATATATATATATATATATATATATATATATATATATATATATATATATATATATAGCTATAAAATGCTGATGTTGGAGAGAATGGACATATTTTTCTTTGTTCAAAGAAAGCAATGTTTTAAAATAAGTCTTGATTATTTTAATTTTCTATTTATTTTTCTATTTTTCTTTGTTTTTATCATATAATTTTTATTATATTATTATGTATTTATTATCTTTAATTTTTATATTTAAGCTGAATGTAACATTTTCTCTTTTTCATCAAAGTGGACATAATTTTCAAAATTGTAGGAAAAGGATTTTGAGTCATAATTTAATTTATTTATATTTTTTTAAAATCATTTCACCCCAAGCTAGGCAGTAAAGTCATTAGGCTGCAAGAGGTCACTAAGTGTTAGAGAATATGAGAAAAAAACTACTATTAAAGAGAGAGGACAATAAAAGTATAAGAATTAAAAAGACAGGTGATAAAAACTGACATTGCATTTAAATCTTTGAAGATCAAAGTTGTCTGGGAAGCAAGAAGCCAGAATTGAATTCCACAAGCGAATAATGCAGCAGAAGAAACTGTAGGCTATATCTATAACTTACAGCTATGTCTAGCCATTTCAACTTTAAATTGATGAGGACTTCCTGCCAATCTAGTGTTGTACTTAAATTCATAACATCTAGGTACCTTAGGGAAAGCTCATCAGAACAATTACCATGAAAATATTTATAGAAAAGGCACAGGAAAGCTATGTTATGGGGGTGGGAAGGGGACTGGGGTCAAGATGCAGATTCTTTTTTGCATTTTATCAAGTATCTTTAAATATATAGCAGAAGTATCAGACCAAATAAACAAAACGAACATTACTATTGGTTCAGTATCGTCAATTTCTTTTCCAATCAATTGTCATTCAAACATTTTTAACAACATTTTATTCTCTGTCTATATTTATGAGATGAGGTATTGTAATTATTTACATTACTTAGACTGTTGTCCTCATCTTTATTGTCATATTTACAATGTTTCAGCCGTTGTATGCTCCAGTCTTCAGGTGATTGGAATTTCAAACTTGTGAATATGACAGAGATGAGGACAACAGTCCAAACAATGTAAATAGTGTAAATAATTACATTTTATTCAATAAAGATAATTTTATTCTATTATTCTTTTCTTATTTATTGATTGTAAACAATGTAAATTATTTTTTATGGATAATGTATTTTCAAATTTGTAGGTAAGGTGTTGTAATGTTATTTTGTTTTGTTTACTTGTTTTTACTATTGATTTAGAATACTCATTTTCTTCTATTATTTATCTTTCAAATATTTTTAACAACAATAATAAAAAAAATCATATATTTGATGATAATTTATAATTTATTCTTTTCTTTTTAAAGTAATAAGTGGTACATTTGATGATGAACTGTTTACTCCAACATCCGGTGTGAAATTCTAAAATATACATGTGTTTGGGTGTATCTTCAGTTCTAGTACCTTTGTAGTGAAGTGGTCAACTCTGCTTTACTCAGGTGAATTGGGATGCAGAACTATCCATGGTCCATAGCCTATATCCAACTCTCATACATAGCTCCAAGAAGTCGCATGGGCACTGCGATGGCTACACTCTGGTCAACAGCATTGACCTACCAGTTAAACTGTGTGAGGGTAGTTGGAAGAGTTTCCTAACATAACCAGTGAAGGGGAAGACTCTCCCCAACCCACCTGTGCCATATAACCATCAGCCAGTGGTCAGCATGGGCATAAGAACTGTGTCTCAGGTCAACAGCTTTGCCAGTGGAGGGATGAGGTAACCTCAAAATCCCTGGTACAAAAGGAAGCGGCAAACCATTGCACTATTTTGCTTTGAATGTCATCATGAACCACTATTAAACAGGAATAGGGTGAGTGGTGACCACATCAGTGCACAGTGTGCTAACTGAATAAATGAGTGAATATGTGTTATGTTTCTTCTTTATTTTATCACAAAATTTAAGTATTCTTCAGCCTTCCTAAAGTGTATGTTGCATTTTCTAGTCCTTGAGTGTCATCTAATATTTCAAAGAAAATTGTCTTTTCATTTGATGCAATGTGCCTCAGAGGGAGGTTGAAGAGCACAGCCAAAATATTGAGATTAAAAACAGTGGTGAAGAAAGACGGCAGTTTGCAAATAATGTAATTAAAAATATTTCCATTTTTTCTTTTTTACTAGGAGATACTTTGACTCAACCAACAAGCTATTCCAAAAAAAATTTGTTTGATCACTTTCAGATTTTGGGAAGTTGGTCAGGTCCTCCTCTCTTAATAAAATTGCATGTAGTTTGTAAAAGATTATGGAAAGAATGTCTTGTTGATAAAACATATTTATATATGCACTCTAACATAGGCATTGTTTTTGTTCATTTACTTCAAGTTTTGTTCTAAAAGATACAGATTGGAATGTATTTTTATTTTTGGGGGAGTTGGCCAATTGTTCTATTTATATTTTTCAATAAAGAAATGAAATGAATAATGAACCTTAAATGTTGGTGTGTTTCCATGTCAGAAAATATTATTATATGATCTTAAGGTATTATCCTGATTCAATGATTTTAGGAAATTATTGTTTATACAGTTTGGCTTTGATATTTTAATGGTTTTTATCTGTTTATAGGGAAAATCCTTGATTGAACCACGTGCATGTGCAGCAACTGGACAAAGTGGTCTGATGTCTCTCTATGAACAAATGTTTATACAATATGGAGTAAGAACAGCTCAGGTGAAAATGCGTTTCTGTTCTTCTATCTTTTAACATTTCTCCATAATGGCATTTATTCATATAAGCATAGTTTTTTATTCAGAATTTGAAAAATATTAAATTGCTTTGAAATAGATTTTAACCTGAAAAATTATAATTTATATTTTAATCACTAAACATTCTGATTGTTTTATAGTTCATAGTCAAGTGTCTTGAAATGTGATTAATCAAAAGAAGCAAGATAAACAATAGAAAGAAGTGATAAGTCTCCTTAAACAATTGATCTGGACAGTTTTGATAATGCAAAGTGGGAAAGCAAAGAAACTGCACAAATTTTTGCTCAACAGAGTTATTGAAGAAATTTACTTATTTCACTTCAATTGATTGGAAGGCAGCTGACAAGAAAAATATTGTAAATTATGCATTAAAAGCAGCATCATTCTGTTTTTCTTGATGTATAAATTTTTGATTGTGTTTCAAAATCACTACAATTTTAATACATGCTGGTTCTTACCTGATCATTTGAAAATGTCATTTAGTGTTAAAAAACTTGGAGACATTCGCAGAAACATAGATATTTCATCATTCTAAAAACAACTTTTCCACCAGTGATGAATGATAAGGTTATTTTATCATCCTGGAAATAAAGATAAAAATTTCATCAACTAAAACAACCTTGCCACCAGTGATGATATATGATAATGATATTTCCTCATTCTAAAATCTGATTATAAAAATGAGTCAGGACAATAGGGTCAGTAGAGTTTGTATGGTAAGTAGCATTAGAAAAAAAAGAGCACAACACATACGTATCACCATCGATCCAGAAAATCAAAAGCTGACGATCTCAAATGCTATCCTTAACAACAAAATTCTTGGAACAAGCAAAAACAAGTAAGCACAAACCGTTAAAGAAACAAAAGAGACAGTAACACGGAGAACATTTTTAACACAGATCATACCAGTATCTGTAATTACTATAATGGGGTTTGTAAGTCGAGTGTTGATGTAGTGATTTTTCCAAGCATAGCTCAGATGTGGCACAAGGCCGACAGTATGAGGCACCCAGTGAAGATTGAACTCACTACTCAGTCGTAATATTTCTAGCCAGACAAGCTTGCTAACCATTACATCACCTCGAGGTGTCCAAGTCGGGTGTTGCTATATGTAGTTATAGTAGTAGTTGATAAATGAATCCTTTTTATTTTTTTTTATTTTTTTTTTTTTTACTGAAAATGGGATGAATAAAAGTGTACAATGATAATAACAATAAGATTTGAGACACTTGTTGACATTAATAACAAGAATGTGTATTTTTCTTTTTTATGATGTGAAAACTAAATTGATGAGACCTTCTTGCTAATCTCATGCTGCACTTAATTTCATAAAGTCTAGGTACAATGGTGAAAAGCTTAACTGAACAATTACTATAAAAGTATTTATAGAAAAGGTACAGGAAAGCAATTTTATTGTGGTGGGAAAGTGACTGAAGCTAAGACGCCAGATCAGGACCAATAATTTTGCTGATTCATCTTTGGATTTTATCCAGAATTGCTAAATATACAGCAGAAGCACTGGACCATGTGTGGCAGCAATATTCAAAGCATAGGTGACACTTAGAGATATGTAAGATATATTCTGGAGAGAAAAATTGTCTAGCATGACACAGTAAACCAACTTTTTTAGCAGCAAACCTAGTGATGGATTCAATATACTTTTCACTTCATGTCTGTTGAGATTGTGACAGAGCCCTAACCAACTTGGATAGGTATATTTCTGCTAACATCATCTATGTATTAGGGTATTCAAAGATCCACAGAAGGGATATTTGCAAAATTGTTTGAAACACTTTCTAGTTCAGCTGATCCAATTACAAAGCAAAGTTACCAATGATGTTAGCAACCTCAAGGATGGAAAGGACATTTGGTTAAATGTTTGACAATTGTAAAAATTATTTTTATATTGCATCAGCTGGGTTACAATTATTGGTTTTAACTCTTCTAGTTTGAGTTTCTCTGATCATTTATGGGGATAAACAGCTTAAAGTTGAAGTACTATGATAGGGATAAATGAAAGTTGTTTGACAAAGAACAGCAATATCAAGCCTTTAGTCAGAAGTGGTCAGAATTTCTTCCTTCAGGTTTAGATTTGACACAATGTCTTTAATTTGTATTTCCAATAGATCCTAACACATTTCTTTGGTTTTGAACCTGGTTGACCTCTCTTTGGTGTTTTTTCCAATCCCCTCTCCTTTCTCCTTTGCTGTTCTTCTCAGTGACATGGCCAGCATGTAAGTGACCCTCACTTTGCTTGTACAACTTTCAGCAGACAAAAACTTATTGCCATCAGCTGGACTTTTGTCTAGAAGCTCTTATCAACAATTCACACTAGTTTTTGACTTATTCAAAATTTGGTTACATTAGTATTTAATTAATTTTCCAAATTATATAAAATATTTTTTTTAATCAGTGTATTTCTTATATCCTAGTAAAATCCATACTTCATGTAATGAAATGAGAAATATTATATATTTTTTTTAGACTGGACTTGTTACTGCTTCTTTATAAATTTTACCTTCTTCATTAAAGTTGATCATTAATCTTGGTTTCTCCGAAATTTCTGTAGTGTCATATCATGATCTACATAAATTTTTTTAATGTTCTTCATCACAAAATAGAAACTTTATGAAAATCTTTTTCTTTAAACTATTTATAGGTGTTGGTGACAAAGCCAGACTTCAGTAATGATGAGAGTCGCAAAAACCTGCATAGCACTTTGTCAGAATTGATACGACTGAATATTATTCCAATTTTGAATGCAAATGATGCTGTAGCACCTCCTCCAGAACAAGACAAAGATCTGGCTGGGGTAAGGAACTTTGTTTTTCTTTTTTAATGAATTTACTTTTCTATGGTTTTCCTTTTAGCATATTTTCATCCTGAACTTTACCCAAACTAATTTTGGTAGCAGAGGAGTAATTGTGAAATTCTACCTTTTTATTTCATTAATAACTGTGTTGACTTCAGCAGGAAAATATATTTTGTTTCAGAAAGGAATTTAAAAAAAATAAAAACATAATAAATATGTGTTGCAGGGGTGTATTTGAGTTAGAAAATACATGTCTCCTGAAATATTTATCCCATAACAAAAATGGCAGACTTGCATGTGTGTCCAGGTAATAAAATACAAAAAAACAACTAAAACCAATATATATATACAAACAAATTATAATGTATTATTAAAAAGACAAAAAGTTACATTGTTGTGAGCGGCAATGATATTGTATGTATGTGACAAAACAATGAACATACATGAAAACATTTAAAAATTAGTGAATTATTTGTGTATGTAAAATGAGTGTAGAAGTCCTAGAGAAAGGAAATTGTGTACATATATGTGTTTGTGTGCATTTCCCAATGGGAAATGTGTTTTCATGATAGACCTACATCATAGTGTGTCAAAGGAAAAAGAGAATAACAGAAAATATTACAGTGTATTTATGAGTTCTAGTAGTGTTTTTTTGAGTTAAGAAAGTAAGTAGGATAACTCCACAATACTTCCCTCTGGATGGGTAGAATTTTATTCTGCCCATATGTACATAAAGTTTGTGTAGGTTTGTTTTGTCCCTTGTAGGCTGAAAAGAAAAGATGTCAACAAAAATGCACTTGTGTAAAGTGCTGTGTCATCAGGGTGCTGTATAATGTAGCATGCTCTGGAAGAAATGTTAGTAGTGTAGAAAGAAAGTTCAGCATTTAGTATTAAAATTTTGTTTTCCAGATGTCATGCATGGTACCACACTCATTCAGAAATATCTAAACTATCAGATGTATACAACCAATTTATCAGGTTAAAAATGTATGTCTTAGCAAGGATCATCCTTCTTCAAACCTTGAAGACTAGTGTTACAGAATCAGAAACAATAAAAACTACCAAGTAACAGAAACCACAAAAGTGATAGCTAAAATGGTTGGCATATATAATTTGATAAGGGAATAATGCTATAATCAACATGTTGTTCCAAACTACTTCAAAAAAAAGGTTAAGAAGAAAGCTCCCATCAATACTAGAAAGAGCAATAACAGTTAGTGGACTTAAGAAACTATTTTAAGAAAAATTGTTTAAGAGAAACATTTTATAAATTTCACCTGAAAGTAGCATCAGCTGCTTGGTCAGTGAATGCTGAACTTATAAGGAAATTGCTAATATTACCGTTATCATTACAATGCTAGTGGTGAAACATGCAGCAAAGGAATTTTTCCTTTCCTAGAAATTTATTTTTAGAAGTAATAATCAAATGAAAGCATAAACTGCTTCTTTCTGGGCCTGTTCTAAAATTTGGTTTTTAGCTTTAAGACATAGCTTAAGATTTTCTTAAGATCCTAAGCTTTTTATTGTGACTATGCTTAGTCATAAATGCTATAGTTTGAGAGTTTATGGTGAACAAACTCACAAGTAAATATCTAAGATTATTATGATCATAAATTCCATGAAACTATGTTGTTGAATTCATCCTTTAAGGTTGGAAAATTAACACAAAAAATCTTATTTTCATTACTTCCATTTAATCTTTTACTCTGCCTAGTAAGCAACAATACGTTACTGTCATATTTTTTTTTTTTTTTTTTTTTTTTTTGCGTAAAAACAGAATATATTTTACTGACACCAAAAAGAAATTATGTCTATATTTATTTTGAAGTAAAATTTAATAAAGTTGCTAAAGAATGATCATTATTTTCTTTTGTTGCTGGTTAAATGAAAGGATACACAATAAACCAAATTGTTATTTACACTGTTCAGACTGTTGTCCTCATCTTTATTGTCATGTTCACAACATTTCAGCTGTTTTATACTCCTGTCTTCTTCAGGTGATTGGAATTTTGAACTGAACCCTTTATTTTGTCTACCAGGGTAGATTGTTCTAGTTCCACGTGCCATACCTCTTCCCTTTATCTCCAAGTTTTTGTTCAGCATTGTAGTAGTCAGGTAATGAACTCACAACTCTTTGGGTCAAGTCAATGGATCAATGCTTTTATCCATTGGGCCAAGAGTCCTTGAGGACATCAGTGTATGAATTTTTGGGACTTATAAACTTAACGTCATTTTTTACCAGAGTTCATATTGCAATTTTTGTTGTTATTATTGCTTTTCTCTAGCACTCTGTATTACTGGTTCCCATATTGTATTCATTTCTATGCTTGGCCAGCTTAGGAGATTTTTTTTTGGCCTAGCATATGTGCCGATTCCTTAAAATTTTCATATTTTCCTGTGATGTTCTATGTCTATTATTTCAGCTGCATCCCACAGGGGGCAGTGAATTCTCTTTTGACCTCCATAAATTAGTAAACAGTGGTCAGCTATGCCGGATTTTACTACTATTTTAATAAATAGTGGTCAGCTATGCTTGATTTTTCTATTTTTTCCAATGTTCTTGCAGACTTACTTTAAGGAGTGGCCTGTTTCTCCTTTACATTTGCCACAGCTACATGGGATGGCATACACACAGTCCTTAGTCATGTTTTCCTCTATGGGAGGTCTTATTCAGAAGAGGTGTCTGCAAAGTGTCAAACCACATTTGAAGATCGCCCTGATGTTATATGGACCACAGATCTTTTGTATTTTTTCTGATAATACCTTCACATAGGGTAGGCAGACCAAATCTGTTTTCTGAGTGTTGTTGTCTTGTACCCTACAATCCCAGTTTGTCAGAGCTGCTGCCATGTAGCCAAGGTATTTGTTATGTTGTAGGGTACTGCTTATACTGACCATTTCTTGTTCATATGTCTCTGGGTTGTCACTTATGACTTTTGCTTGATAATGTAAGCAGCAGATGATCCCTTTCTTCACACTGTATGGGTGGTGGGAGTTGAAGTTGAGGTATTGTCTGATGAATTTTGGCTTGCAGTATACAGATGTCTTGAACCTATGCTCTCGGAATGCACATTTGTTATTGTTTTCTCTGTCCATTGTGAACTGTATTGATGATCTTATTGAGTCCACATGCCAGTAGTAGCTGGATGTCTTCCTGGTGTGACCAGAATATGAAGATGTCATCTATGTATACAATATGGGAACCAGTAATTCTCTAGCACTCTGCTAGAGGAAAGCAATAATAACAACAAAATTGCAATATTAATTCTGGTAAAAAAAGGAAACTGGGGCATTGTTTAGAAGTCTCCAAAATTCATACACTGATGTCCTCAAGGACACATGGCCCAATGGATAAAAGCATTGCTTGGATCCAGTGACCTGAGTTCAATACCTGGCTATAAAAAACTTAGAGAATTTAGTTAAAGGTAGATAACTGAGATATCCGGAAGAGGCATGGAACTAGAACAATCTACCTTGGTGAAAGAAACAAAGAGTTCAGTTCGAAATTCCATTCACTCGAAGAAGGCTGGAGCATACAATGACCGAAACAACATGAACATGACAATAAAGATGAGGACAACACTTCAAGCAACATAATTAATTACAATACCTTATCTCAGAAAGATAGACAAAACAAATTGTGTATTTTATCCCAAACTCTCTGATCTCTCTTGCAAAGATGAAATACAAAAAAACATTTGAAAAATATATTTTCATAATTATTCAAAACTAGTTTCTTCCTGGAAATAATTCCAAGAGAATGCATTTCCTTCAAATTTATTAATTCATTTTAAAACTATTCTGTTTGGTCATTCATTGTATCTTGTTTTATTTAGACTTGATTTCCAACCTACCTTTTTTACCTCGTGTTAGTTTCTTCATGTTATTGTCTGTTTTTGCACCTTTTAAATTCCTTGCATGATATTTTTGTATTGGAGTTTTTTGTTTTTTTTTGCTGATGTGTATTTTTATTTATTTTTTTTACACAAATTTCTTGTCACTGATGCTTGTCTTTTAATGCATGGGCACAACCTTTTTTTAGGCCTACCGAACCATTGGTGAACAGGTGAGACAAGGACTTTTTCCTTTAAAATGATGAACCAATAAACAGAAGATTGTTGAACAGAAAATTATTGTCATCTTTCGCTTTAATATCTAAATAACATTGTTTTTCTTTTCTCTGTTAGTAGATGTGTCTAATTTTTAGTGCAAATATGATGTAGAATGCTAGTGTATTGGTCAAAATGCAAAGAAAACAATGTGAATGAGTCAAAGATATGGATGAAATTCAACAAAATAATTAAAGAACAAGTAGGAAAACTCTTATAAATTTAGCAAGTTTCATTATTTATTTAACTTCATCAGAAATATTTTGGCAAAATAGAATGATGTGGAATTGTTTTGATTTTGGATTCTTATGTTTTTTTTTTTGTTTTTATTGGTTAGATTGCTATCACATGTTCATTTCAAGGTACTGGTATATATATGTATGAATGTATCAATTTTAGGATGTTATATATTTATCTTATTGCATCTGTGTTGTGTGCATGTCTTTGTATGTGTGTTTAATTTTGGAGATGTTAGCATGATCTAAGTGTCTATTAAAAAGTTTGGTCTATTAGCGCATATTGATTACATGATAAATATGAATATTGGAAGTGAATGTGTAATACAAGGTTATATCCTCTGCAAATGTTTAGATCTTACATTAAGTATAGCTTTTTTAAATATTGTTGATATTTGCATTTAAATGTCCCAAATATTTAAATTATAACCATTAGCCGAGTTGGTCAGTAAAAAAACAAAATCAGCAACACATTGGAAGATGGGATATAAAAGAAAAACTGTTTAAAATACCATAAGAAATACATATGTGAAATTTCTAGAAATCTAAAATTCCACATGTATAAACACAAGAGACCTGTTGGGATAACCCATTAAATTCCTTAGTAACACATAGAAATAAAGCAAACCATAACTTCAATTTAAAAATGCTACCT